CAAGAAACTAACCTCAACCTCAAAGACAGACTTTACCTAAGAATTAAAAGTTGGGGAAAGATCTTCCAATCAAATGGACCCAAGAAACAAGCAGGAGTAGCAAACCTAATATTCAACAAATTGGACTTTAAACTAAAATCAATCAAAAGAGATGAAGGAGGTCACTTCCTACTCATCACAGGAGAAATCCATCAGGATGAAGTCTCAATTCTGAACATTTACGCCACAAATACAAAGGCATCCACATTTGTAAAAGAAACATTACTAAAACTCAAATCATACATAAAACCGCACACACTAATTTCAACACCCCACTCTCACCACTGGACAGAAACACCAGACAGAAACTTAACAAAGAAACAAAAGATCTAATTGAAGTTATGGTACAATTGGACTTAACAGATACCTATAGAACATTCCACCCAAATACAAAACAAATTACCTTCTTCTCAGTACCACATGGAACTTTCTCTAAAATCGGCCACATACTTGGCAACATAGCAAACCTCAACAAGTACAAAAAACTTGAATTAGCCCCCTGTGTCTTATCAGACCACCATGCTTTAAAATTAGAATTCAACAACAACAAACAACAAGAACTACAGAAAACCTACAAATTCATGGAAATTAAGTAACACCCAATTGCACAATTCATGGGTCCAGGAAGAAATAAAAAAAGAAATTAAAGATTTCCTAGAATTCAATGAGAATGCAGATACAACATACCCAAACCTATGGGATACTTTGAAAGCAGTGCTAAGAGAAAAGTCCATAGTGCTAAATGCCCACATGCAGAAACAGGAGAATAATCACACTAGAGAATTAACAGCACAACTGAAAGCTTTAGAAAACAAAGAAGTCAATACACCCTGGAGGAGCAGACGCCAGGAAATAATCAAACTGAATGCTGAAATCAATAAAATGGAAACTAGGAGAACAATACAAAGAATCAATATAACAAAAAGTTGGTTCTTCGAGAAAATCAACAAGATAGACAAACCTTTATCCAAACTTACCAAACAACGAAGAGTGAACCTGCATATTAACAAAATCAGGAATGAAAAGGGGGACATAACAACAGACACAGAGGAAATCCAGAGAATCATCAGGTCATACTTTGAAAACCT